GACCAAGGGTGAGTCTCCCCCTCAGTTTCCCCTGAAGGATCTTCCGTAGCTTTTGCCTTCTCCCTACATCTTCCCTCTGTTAAAATCCCCCCCCACACACACACACTTATTTTCAGGCGGATAGATTTCGTGTCTGAGCATTCTCACATGACGGTGGGTCTTCCCCCCCCCCTAAAAACAGTTAAAAAAAGAAAAAACAATATATCCTCATGCAAGAACTTTTCTGCTTCCGATTACCCCCATGCTTAAAAGTTGCAAAGGAAACACGGAAGCAGGGAAGCGTCTGCCCAGCTCCGGAGCTCCACACCATTTTTTTTCAGAGGGGAATCTGACTCGAGTATAAGCCGAGGGGGGTTTTTTCAGCACAAAAAATGGGCTGAAAAACTCGGCTTATACTCGAGTAATGCTTAATGTTAATGGCAGTGAATTTCCTGTAAAATTCTCCCCAATGTTTAGCTGCTCCCAAATGCTATGGCAAGAATTTTTAGTGGAATACATACTGTAATTCTTATTTTACAAGTTATACATTGGTGATTATTGCATTAATGCTGCATATTGCTTGAGATCCGAGATTTAAGAAAGACTGGGTTTGAAACTAGTTTGTCCATACCTGAAGGTGTCACGTAGAAGCTCTTCTGTGTCCCAACAAGGGATGAGTTCTAAGAAATCCCTTGCCCCTTTATCTTCTTTGTTCAGCTAGGGACTGGTCTTTGCTTTTCAGCCCATTTCAATTTTCTGTATCTGTTCCCTATAATCTTGTTAAAATTAGATTTTCTTTTATTAATTTATATGGTTCCAGACAAATGGCAGAACTGGAGAAGGAGCAACAATTTCAGTATCAACTACTTGTAGAAGCCTGTGGACTAGATCGAAGACAGGATATTTCACGTCCGTGGGTTTATTCCTACTTCCAGCGTTCTTTTACAACAGAAGATGATTAAAGTCCTAAGCCATCCCCAAATATTTTTTTGAGTAGTTATAAAAGCAAACTTGCATTCTGACAGGTTTTTCTGACAGACTAAGAAGTGCTACTAAATACTTTTCTTCAAATTTTGTCTGATCCCTAAGAAAGTGCTGATATATCTAGACAATGTTCTGAATCTAAACAATTTAACCCATACTGGGATGTGTGTGGGTATATGTAAATATAATCTATTTGCTGTTATTGCAAACATGCCGCATTTCCTTTAGCACTGACCCCAACCATAGTCAAGCTAGCTTGATAGGTGGTAGTAAATGCCATCTGTGGGTCCTGCTTTTGATTGGTTCCTATGCAGTTTCATCTCTAAACTTTAAATTATTTTTTCTCTACCCTTCTAGCTATTTCATTTTTAGGCTATAAAGTAGGCTCTTTCCTTTGAAAACTCCTAAGGTATAAGAGACTGTCTTTTAGGTTATAAATCTCGAGATTAAGACATGAACTATATTTTTGTTTTGTAAAATAGAAATATAGACCTTCCTGATGAATAACATGTTATATACTGTATAATAACATGTTTCCTGATGAATAACATGTTAACAAGGTGGTCTTCAGAAATAGGGGCCTTGGGATTTCTATTTAAGAGACAGCCTACGAACATGATTCATACTCTCATTTCTGAGTGTTTTGTGTTTTAACTGTGAATTAATTTTTATGATCCTAGAAATTGGTCTGGTGTAACCTACTGCTCAGGTGTAAGGAATTCCCAGCTGTTCAAGTTCTTCTTAAAGCAAATTCAGCTGGCTCCCAAATTTTCTTTCAGACTAATTATGCTTTTTTTAAAAAATGAGTCTTATTTTTAAGTGTTTAATCTTTAATAACTATGGGTTTTATTGTAGACATTTAAAACTTTTCTCTTGCAAACTGCTGCCCACCCTCTAGAAGAAACATAAACGTAAGGGGCAAATAATCAAGGATCACATTACAAATCCTTCCCACTGACTTCATTCAAATATTTAATGCTAAAGATATGGATAACACTTAAGCCCAGATTTTGATTTTTGAAAACAAGTTTTAATTTTTAAAAAAAGTTTGGCATGCGTACAAAAAGGCATCAGAAGTTGGACATGGAAACTACAAGCATTGGAGAAGATCCATTTAACACTTTACAGTTAAGTGCCTGAAAATTAAATACAATTAAATGGTTTGTTAAAGAATGCTTAAGAACACTGCAGTCTTAATTTCTGACCTTTCCCATTCCCCTGGCAACGAAAATAAAGCCGAGGTAGAGCAGTGTTTCTAGTCCTGCCATCAATATTGCAAACCTGAGCTAAAGAATCTTTCTAGAATTGACAGGTTTTCTATGACAGTTCTGCAATTGACTAAGAGATAAGATAGAACATTTTGAATTAGACTTAGGGAAAAAAATCACTTAGGAAAAAAAAAAGTTTTGTTGACCAGGCCTCATTACAGAACACTATTTCATATAACTTCCAAACATGAATAATTTATTTCCAGAAAATTAACTTATTTTCAGGGGTACTTACACTCTAAGATTGCCAATGGGAGCTGTCTGAAAAATGAACTAGTTTACTTCTCTATACAAACAGGATTTAATGCCAGGTCTTCAATCCTGAACCTATTGAAGTCAAAAGAAAAACTTTTGAATTCTAAAAAGTGAGGATACTGATCTAGATCAATGCTTTTTCAGTGTTTCTAATCTTTATTACACTAATAGTGCATGCATGTAATTCTGCAAAGTACCTAGGTTTTCCAATATAGATTACAAGATAGTGTTAACTTGTATTGAAATCAATACATTTATTGTTATTCATATCTAATTTGAGTCCCAATATTTTCTGTGATTCTCTGTAACTGAAGAATTGGTACATCCCTGTTTTTTAAACACCACTGAAGATGTTTAGATAGCATTTTCATTTTTTCCATATTTATTCTTCATTACTTTACCATTAATTTTCAGAGTTCCGGAGCTACACATAACAAAATACAACTTCCGGAGAAAGATAAATTCTTGATTTCTACTTATACACTGAGAGCAAGTAGCAGGGAAAGTGCTAATTCTCAAAAGTGAATCAATTTTTTTCCTGTGTAACATCCTCCAGCATCGATAAGAAATTATCTTCTTTAAATATTCTTCACTAGTTTTTCAAATAATCTTCCAAATTTAAGTCTTAAAAGAAAATGCAGAGGTTTATGAATTTGTTTCCTCTTATTTATTTAAAGGGAAGCCAATACAATCTATGTTCATTGAAAAACCACATTCCAGGCAAACAGGTACAACATAAAAATCATAACTCTTGTTGCATGAAGATGTACATTAATTAAAACTTTCCTAGGATCTTCTGTTGACAAAACCCCAAACAATTTCCATGTTATCTTCAGTGAAGCCATTTCAAAGATAATATTACCATAAAGAAACTACATTTTTGCCATCAGTATTTGGATACTTCCCAGTAAAATCTACAGAAAACTCTTCTTAATATTAGGACATAATCCTTCTGTTTATATTTCAAAAAGTTTCCATATCTTCTCTTAAAATCCACAAATAAAAGTCACACACCTAAATTTCAGGCCAACGTGAATAGTAGAAACCTCTGCCTACTGCCAAATAGCCAACGCTTGGACACATGACCATTGCCAACATGTAACTGCATGTGTAGACAGTTGCTTTACTAAAGAGGAAATTGGAGAAATTGGGAAGTACAACTGTAGTAGGATCACAAAAGTCTGACACAATGACTGTATAATGAGCACAATAATTCAAAACAGACAACTGGAAATAATATTTAAAACATAGGAATGTGGTGTTGGTTTTAATTCAGTGTTATATACCACATTACAAAAGAACTATTATTTAAAAATAAAAAAGGATAAAGGGGAAAAAACAAACATTCTAAATTGTTGAATGGCCTCCTGTCTGTTCCTGATAAACCTCAATCACATCTTCTTCTTCCATTCCAAGCTGTAAAATAAGAACCACAATTTTATTTTTAAAAATCCAAAATATAGAGCCATATTGGATGCTCACCATGCACATTGGTTCCGTGGATTTTCTGCAGAAGAAACTAGCAGCAGAGTTAACAAATAAGTAAACAGTGCATATATAAAGAGATTCTCAGCAAGTATCGGGCTTACTAAAACTTTATTTAAAAAAATAAGTATGCCACAATACACAATCATTAAATATCTTATACCATAAAGCATGGTTTAAGCCCTAATTTTAAATTAAAATAATTCCATACATATTGGTAAATTACTTTGGTAATGTCTTCTGCACTATATTAAGATAATTATCAAACTGTTTATATAAGCTATAGAATGATGTTTCACTTTCTCCATGCATAAGAGACTTCTGTGAAATACAGTGCTGTTTAATGATAGTATAGTTATGAGCTTGGTTAAGATGGATGATCATATAAAATTTTAAATAAATGAATAAATAAATGTAGAGATTATAAATATTTTGCAGAGCTTGGGTAATCATTTCCTTTTTAAAACATTCTTAGTCACCTAGAATCACACACCTGAGATGGATGGCAAATACATTTAATAAATAAATGATTATAGAATAAAATAAAAGGCCATTCTCATGAGCTTTGTGGATAATGTAGGAAAGATGCAGGGTGGTAAGGTAACTCCAGGAACAGCATCTACGTTTTATTGTCTTGTCAGTTTTTTTAGTATTATCAGTTCTTATATATACAAGTGGTCCTCACTTGACAGTAATTGGAACTGGAAGTTATTCTCTAATTGATGGAAATGCTGAAAAAACATTTAATAAGTTACAATTTCTTGGGAACTTCATGGTTTTCATAGCAATAAAATGGTTTGCCACTGCCATCTTCTTGGAAGTTTTTTAACTGTCCTGTCTTGCCTACAGCTGTACATTTTCTGAAGATTTCTCTATCATGTACTAGTCAGGTTTGAGCCTTCTTAGATTAGATCACTAAAGTTGACTACTCACTGTCAACTAGGAAGCAATACATATTGTTCATATGTACTCAAATCCCCAAAATCGAATTATATTATTTATCTAATAAAATAATCCAAACTGTATTGTGATACCAATTTTACTTATATTTTAGAGGAACACAGGTTGAATCCAAAATTCCAAATATGAAAGAAAGCAGATAAAACAGATTTTCATGCACCCTGCCTTCCAATTTTTAAAGACCAATGCATTTCTCCTTAATTTGTTTCCCTAACTTCTGGAGGAAGATTTTTCCCCCAAAAAGATGAACCAGCACGTACCAATTTAATGGATAAATTTTGAAAATCAGTTTATAAAATGCAAATGTTACTCTACTATTTTATTTAATTTAGGTAACATTTAAAACTATTCAGTTTTTAGAAAATATATTTTAAAAAATCAAGGACGAACTTTTAAAAGCTCTTTACAAGAGATCACACAGAACTGTCATAGTAATAATCACATGGACTGCACCTGCAGGAAAGGCTTCTTAATAGCACCCTGCTATCTTTAAAATATCTGGACCTCATTTTCTGGAAATATTACACTTACAAGCTTTAATTTACAATTCAAACAGAACTATATAAATACTTAAAGGTTTTAACTAACCAACTTGAAAATAAGTTCTGTAATATAATGGGACATAATTTTTACTTATTTGAATCCATTTGGGTCATACAGAACAATTTTAGAGCCACAATTTAACCTTCAGAATGCGGCCTTTCAGGCAATGTTTGTTTCTGTAATTTTGATCAAAATTTATTCACCATTCTACGTTCTAATATACCTACAGGTGAAAAATGACTAGATAAACTATGTACCAGAGGAAATATATGTACAATAGATATCTAAAACTTTATACCAAGGGAACTTTTAGAATTTTTTAAGATCAGAGAATCTGTATCACTTTTTTCTTTGCCAGAAAATTAAAATGTAAGTTTGAAAGGTTAATACTATCCAGTCAAATTTTTTGAACAATTCTGGAGAACCTTGTCAAACATGAAGATGTTAAAGCATAGTTCACATTTGGA